CTTCCAGACTAAAGGAACCTCTTTATTTTGGATACTTTGTGTTGGTCTTTCACATTAAATTCCAGTGAAATATATTTATGTTTGTGGTTGTAATGTGACAAAATATGGAAAAGTTCAAGGGGTATGAATACTTTTGCAAACCACTGTATCTTTAAAGGAATGCATATTGCCTGCTGCTTTTAGGGTCAGTGCTTTATATTAGGGTCTAAACAGAGAGATATCAGTATAGCTGTTTTGATCAGACCTAGTATTTTGACAGTTTTATTCAAATACGTCCAGTGATCCATGAAATATTTTTCTGACAGACAGACAGACAAAGTTGTTTAAAATGTTATAGTGTGACAGGGCCTTAAGGGACCTACCATACAAGCTCATTAACGATGAATTCTGACAAGAAAAATATTTAAAAACATGTCTATGCAAATGAAAAAATAAAAAATAAAACCTAACAAAACAACCGCTTTAAACTTTCCATTTTGTAACACCAGATTTTAAATGAAAACTGTACTCCTGTCTTTTTCTTCATTTGTCATTACAAGCAAATAAATCGCCTGGTCAGCCCGCATTGCATCTTGGGATATGGTGAGCTGAGAAGGATGCGTTTGTGAGCCTTCGAATTTGGGTAGCTTTGGCGCATCGCTGTGATGTAATCAGCCATCAAATTCATCCTTCAAAGGATGCAGCCCCTAAATTTGGACATAGCCACAGACACCAAACATGGGCAAAAGCTCTGTCACCTTTGCCTTTACTGGACAATAATATTAATTCAATATTGCTCTTAAACATTTTTCTCATATGTCTCACTCGTTGACAATAAAATGATTTTTTTTGAGGAACCCAAGTGGCAGTTCTTTGCCACACCACTTGGGGGTGACATGGGTGTATGAGTGAGCATCTTGTAGCATACCGGAGTAGGCACTCCCAGCGGCAGGATGTCCAGGTACTGGCAGGGCGCTAGACGTTAGTGGTGGCGGTGGAGGCAATGCAGCTGGAGTCGCAAACATATTGGGATGATGGGAATGTGGCGAGGGCTGCAAGGCAGGGGGGAAGCCGGGGGCGCTGTGGTTGGCAGCTAGTGGCAGGGGGAAGGTAGAGGCTGCTGCTGCCACCGGAGGAGCAGGTGGGTGGTGGGGAAGGTGCAGGGAGGGAGAGGGCCCGTGGAGCTTGGTGCCGGGAGTGCTGCTCCTGCTGCTGCTGTAAAGACAGAAAACGTGAGAGCGACAGAGGATGGAGCCAGGCGTGATTAGTCAAATTTAACACTTGTTCCTGCACATCCCCTCATCTCCATCTGTTCCAGCATCCAAATCACAGCACAGTGTTTTCACACCTCAACTGCTTTCCATTTTACAAACGCCTCCCTGCCTCATTCTTATGTTTCACAGAATCCAGGGCAAACAGGATCTGCAAAAACCCTGCATTCGCAACACCACTTTGGATGCAAAGGAACCACCGCTGGCACACATAACAAAATGAACATCTGTCGTTGAACAGCTTCTGTTAAGGCACTTCCTCCAGAGCCAGGTACAGAACATGTGCATAGGAAATGGGATGAGAGGGAAATAGAGGGTGTGTATGCAAGTGTTAGCAAACAGTCTTTTGTAGTGTGTGTGGGTTTTCCCTGGGGGCATCACAGAGCCTGCGTCTCCGCAGCTCCACACTTTAAGCCTAAAAGCTCATTTGCTTCACTCGCTCTTTGCTGTAGGCCCTGGCTGCGATTATTCACAGCGGGTGCCAGGCCATGTTGGTACGCTGGCAGGCTCGCCCGGGCTGGCACAAGGACAGGCGGACAGAGCCAAGTCCTGAGTGTCTGTGAGGCAAAGCTGTCGATGGGACCGAGTGCGTTCCGAAGAAGCCATCTTCAAGTCGCACATTATTAAAGGCTTTACACAACACAATGGACTGTCACGGACATTACAGCAAAAATAATTATTATCCACATAAAGCAGAACTCTACTGGGATTTTTCTAAAATAAGTAAAAACATAACATGTTCATAATTATTTCTTGGATAAATATAAATCCATATGCTTGTTTGCCTTTTTTTTCTCATTCTCAGATGAAGTAAATTTCATTAAGTAAAAATATGCTTTTGTTAATAAATCATAGGCTCCCATGTGGCAGCATGTCGATTTAGTTCTAATAACAGTTATAAGGAACGATAGCTCTGAAACTTAAAACTCTCCCTGCCGGCATTTTGTGTCCTGATCAGACGTTACACCAACAGAGATGATAGTTTATGAGTTTGGAGTGTTGAATTTTCTGCCTCAGAACATTAGAGAACTTTAATAAAGTCCATTTAGACGTGCGTTACCTGTGACCGTTGAGGTTGAGGCCGTTGTAGGCAGAAAGTGGGCGGGGCTGGCAGCGTGACAGGGGCCGGTGAGGACCCGCTTGAGTAGGGTGGTGCTGGTGGTGATTAGGAAGGGCAGGAGATGGTGGGTGTGGGTGAAGACTTTGCGTGGGCTGAGGCCTGCTGTGAATAGGCTGGTCAGGCTGGGGCTGGGGAAGGGGGGGCAGTGAGGGCTCTTGGCCGTGGGGAAGAGGCAGGGCTGGAGGCGTCAGAGGCCTGGGGAGAGCCTCTGAGTGAGACAGCAGGTGGGTCGAGACTGGAACCTGGGTGGGACTGTTTGCTTGAGTACGAAGAGGGGACAGAGTCTGGGGTTGTGGCAAACGGAGGGTTTGGGGGGGCAAGGGTGGACTTGTGGTGGTGGATTCAGGAGGTTGAGGGTCTTTACAGCCCTCCTGGCTCCTTTCCTGACTCCGCTCTAGGCCTGAAACCTTGAGGAGGCCTGGGCCGAGAGGCTCCTGGCTGCCATTAGTGGAGAGCACATTGATGCCAAGATCTGGAACTGTGAAGAAAAAAAAATCACTATAAAACAATAGAACAAGACCTGAAACACACACAATCACTAATACTAACAATTTAGTAAATTTCTAGCCTGGCCCTTGCCTTCCTACGCAATTCCGATCAATTCTAATCTCCCTTCACTGCTCCATCTGGGATTTATCTGGTAGTATCAGTCAACCAGGCCAATCAATGAACAGAAGGAGGAGTTGGGAACGTCAACGTCAATTTTCTGCTCTGTTTTTGTCTGCCTGTTTAGAAATGGCAGTGGAGGAAGAGAATGAAACCAGTTTGTGTTGAAAGCCTGCAGCACTTATTTACAGCCTTCTTGTTCAGCTCGGTACTTCTCATTTCCCAGTAGGGGATGGTTGTTTACAACGCACTCAGTTAACTTCTTAGCTTAGCTTCCTTCACTTTCATATCAACACTAAGTAACGCTTGTCTTTACACAATCACTCCAACTTGTCAAAACTTAAGTGGAGCTGTTGTTTTTTTCACCCAGAAGTCTAATAAAAAAGCAGTTATAAAATCACACCTTTATTTTAAAAATGTAAAAAGTAGTAGTACTTTTGAGCTGGCAAACTACATCACAGCAAAACGTTAGCAGATCCAATCGTTTTAAACTTCAACAGAGTCCACAACTCCAGCAAGAAATCACTTCCTAATAGCTGAGGGTCTAGACCCTCTGTACGAAGCAAAGTGTAGAACAAAAGGCTGTTTTGTTTTACCAGGTTAGTAAATAACACAAACTGGCTAAAAGTTTCTATTGTGAATGACACATAACTATAGTTTATTCTTGTCTTTTGTTTCTTAAAATAATCAACTGCATCTTACACAATGTCAGATGTTTCACCTTTTTAGTGTGCTGTATATTATGACCCATGTAAAATAAAATAAAAAACAGAAGCAGAATTGTACCACTGTGTGCAGATTTACAGCTTTATGCTTAATTTGTGTCAGCTTGTTGTTGAGTTTTTTAGAAATACAATTTGTGAAAACATTAATAATGACAAATAAAACCAAACAGTTCAGATTTTCTATAATCTTTGAAAACATTTGTTTTTACTATATGCAAAGTAACATGACACTAATGATACTCGGTAATGATTAGTACAATGTAGAAGCAACATGATACAAATACTGCAATAATAGATTTAGTTTAGCATCCATCAGATGCTGCCAAAATATATCCTCTGATCTCCAAAATGTGAATAAATTGAAAAAGAAGTTATAATCGCTGTACGCTGCTGAAGTCACAGTGAACAATAGATAATAAACTCCATCCAGGGTATTTCTCAGCAGGGACCTCATCTGACAGAACAAAGTGCTCAGACATCAGCAGTCAGCTCCAGAGGAAAGAGGCTCATGGGGGCTGACAGCACATACATAAACTGTAATTAAGGCTCCCAGGGCCTCATGGGAGCTTGGCAATGGGTCCCCCCCCCCTTTGTGAATCCTTTACCTGCCAAATAGGTGTAGATGGGCCCCAGGTCCCCTCGGTGGAGACAGCAGCCGGCCCTGCAAAGCAGCCACCTGTCACTGGGGGCTTCCATCTCCCTGGCAAACTACTCCCCTCAGACCACCTTCACTGGGAGCTGTAGTTGAGTCAGCCGAGCTGCACAAGCAGCTAGTTTTTTTGGGTGGGGCAAGAGGCTCCAGCAGAGGGAGCAGAGTTTATTGTTTCAATATCTTTTGGAGACAGACTTTATGCATTCAGGGTGTTTGTCTGTGCACACAAGTTCCTTAAAACACACAAAACAAGATCAAATTCAAACAAGTTCTTCTTTTGGTTTCTTGTGTTTACCTCATGATTCCCTGTTTTGTTACTTCAGTTAGTTCTTCTCTGTATTGTATTGTTAGGGTTGTTGCACCATTCTTGTGTTTTATTTTACAAACTTCTATGAGTTCCTGTTTTAACTTCTCTGTGTTCCCTGTACCGTGTCTCGTTTATCCTTAGCCAGTCTCCTGTGTTTCCAGTTTGCCACGCCCTGTTTCACTGTCCCCAATTAGCAATCAGCCCAGGTGTCTCCACTTTCCACTCTGCTCTTAATATTCTGTCTCCTGCCACCAGCACCTCAGCAGTTCATTGTTTAGGCTACCTCCCCGATATTTGGGTTTCTGTTGTGTTTTTTCACACTTGACCTTAGTTTTTGCGAGTTTTGTTGCCATGACAGCTTTTTTTGTTTAATAAAGTATTTTTAGTTTATCTTTATGAGTTCCTTGTGTGACTGCACTCTGGGTCAGATCCCTCCACTCACCAGCGACACAACAGAATTTTTACCATGTTCAATAAAGACACATCATCAGTTGTTTTTCTCAAACCTTCTTGTTGACATCAACAGTATTGAATTTAATCTGTGGCATAATTTCCCCCAAAACATATGCAGCTTCAGGTTAAACCATCTTCACAAAAAAGCTACAAGGCAATGTATTTATTTGTACAAACTAGGTGTCAAACTCATTTCATTTAGGGGCCAAATAAAAAACAGTATTATGTTTAAGGACCTTGAACCTCAATCGATATTTTATAAAAAATATTTAAATTTGGCATGTTTTTCAGATTAGATTTGTCCATTTGAATCCTGAAAACCCTCAGGATTAACTAAAACTGATTCTGATTCTGAGTTTACACCTCTTCAGTGACGTGCAGATAGATTCAATGCATGATGTAAGTGTATGGAGATGTTAATGTGCTTCTATTGTTAAAAAGCCCAGGGGGAAGTGATTTTGTACTGGGGTTGATTTGACTGGTGCACGGAGGCTGAGTCATCCTGTTAGCTTTATTAAATAACACAAAATGATAGACCCGATCATGATCTTTGCTCAAACCTCCTCCTTCATGACTGTACCGAAATGTGACTACTGTCTACAACCAGACAAAGAAGAAAAGACATGTAGAGGAGGGAAACGGTGACACACAGAGGTACAGTAAAAGAAAAAAGTCAAATAGTTTCTGTGTTGCATAAAGTAACTTTAACTGACCGTGGTTTGCTAATCAACAAGCAGCGTTTGTAATTGTTAGCTGAGCTGTGTTGAAAAGAAAAATACAGTCAAATACCTTGATATATAAAACTGTGTAATTGTTGAAAATACCACGGCATAAGATTTGGGTCAAATCTCCCATAACTACGTAAAAACAAACCCAACAACTGATGGCTGAGTAAAAGAATGATGTAAAGCAGTCCCTCTGGACACAAAAGGCACACACTGGGCATTGAACTTTACAACGCCAGTTGGAAATGAAAAGGAAATTCAGGTGCATGAATTTAAATTTAACCAGCAGCCAGTCAGAAAACATATATACATATTTTTTTTGTTTTGTTTTGTTTTCTATGCCATCTTTACATGAACACATCTTTACTCTCACATGCATCAACAGATAAGAAATCCCAACATCCCTTATATCTGTTTTCCTTACTGGTGTCAATCTTCTCTACTTACAAATGCTATTACTGGTCAAGGGAGACCGCTGCTGGCAACAACATCACCGCAGCAGACAGAGAAGAAATTCCCAGTTCTCCTGCTGCACCTCCTGATCCCTGAGGTCCACAGCTTGTTTTGAGAATGTGCTAACATGCTAAAAAGAAGGTGTCTATTCTGGTCATAATGAACACCCAAGGGCCATGCAGAGTGGGAAAGAAGAAGCAAGTAGGATCTGCCAGCTATCCTCCCGTGAGGGTTCATTTGACAGTCTTCTTCATCCCTGAAAACAAATAAGTGCCATTCCCACTTGGGATTTTGAAAATGTAAAGCCCTGCTGTTTCTCAGTCTTTCAGTGTTATTACAGTTTGAAACTAGCACTAGCTGCTTGGCAGAGCGGAGAGTGGGGAACGAGGCCCATGGCTATGTGTAGGATGGTCAAAGAGGCAAAAGCTGGATTTAAGTATTAACAGGGGGGCTTTGTAAGTGTCGTCTGTGTGTTGTGTGTTGGTGTGTGTGTAGGAAAGTCTTTCATTAAGTGTAGATGTCAGGGGACCCAGTGGAGGACTTAAGGGGTTAGACATGTCCTACAGTTCAGTGTATTAGCTGTAAACTCCACCTCTAGTGATTTCTATCTCCCTACATGGGTAAAGCTACAGCAGCTTGCAATTATTACACTAGAACTCTAGACTGAAAGTTCAATTCAATTCATTTTATTTATATTGTGCCAAGTCACAACAAACGTCATCTCATGGCACTGTACAACCCCCCCCCCCCCCACCCCCCCCAAAAAAATAATAATCTAAGGAATTCAGCTGATTGTGTAGAATGAAGTTACATGAAAATCTAAAAAGACAATACGGGATTTTAACAAACTTACAGACCAATTGTTTTTTTTTTGGAAGCATCCATTTTTCTTTTTTTTTTCAATACCTCACATTTGGTTTTAAGACATAAAAAACTCAAATGTTCAAGTAATATTTACATCAAGCAATCCAGAACCACAAGTTCAAGTCTAAAATGCACAATGTCTTGCCTCACCTTWGTAGAGCAAAACAGCTTATGATAAGTGTGGTTTGATTTACTGTTAGCATCTCTTGATCTATTTTAATCTTGATCACATAAAGCCTTCAGGATTTATTAGGGTGCCGATGCATAAGCAATGAAGCATTTAATCCCGTTTATTTATATAACATCAATTCACAAATAAAGTCATCTCAAGGCACTGTTCAAAACAACAAGGGGATTTGGCTGAAACAAGTGAAAAAACTCAGCCATCTTTGAAGCTCTATCAGACACACTTCACAGAAGAAACATTCAAAGTTTAAACAGGTCACAGAATTAAGAACTTTACATGATTTAATATGTATTTTCAAAATTGCACTTTACGTTTTATAATTTTTAAAGATTTTTGTGATATCACATACTTACATTAGAACTGTCTAAATGTTTATGAACAACTCCTATTATTCTCAGAAACATTTCACTTCCTCTACAGTTTATACATCAAAATATCAGTTTTTGGTTAGCTTAGATTCTATCAAAAGGAAGTCACAAATTACTGCCGAGCTTTGTAGAATAAAT